TCACAGTAGTTTTACCAATACTGAATACAACGGTCTAAGAGCCAAATGTTTGCTTCCTATGGAGACTGCACAACAACACAGGGCTAACACACAGTGCACATTCATGACAGAGAGGACTCTGTATGTTGTGTGGAAATGGGGGTGGCTAATGCCATCTTTTTTTTTTCTTCCTTTCTTTTTTTGTCTTTTTGAGACAGGGTCTCGCTATGCAATTCAGGCTGGCCTTCAACTCACTATGTAGCCCAGGCTGGCCTCGAACTCACAGTGATCTCCCTGCCTCAGCCTCCCAAAAAGAGTACTGGGATTACAGGCATGCACCACCATGCCCGGCTCATATTTTCATTTTCGTAGGGCTGTTTTTTTTTTTTAAATAATTACTTGATTTAAATCTTCAAAGAAGTTCTCGGGTAGAATAGCATTATTATTCACATTTTAAGTGCAGGCCACACGGCACAATTTGGTGAGATAAATCTGTGAGAAATTCCTAAAGAGGAATCACATGTTTAGGGAAGAATCTGGCCCACAGACTTCCTCTAATTAAATGCCTGTCTAATAAAATACTGTCGATGGTATCCAGATGACGGCTAAAGGAACTGCCGCAGTTCACTTTAAGTTCTGGAACTCATTAAACACATTTCTTCATGCTAAAAGAATTTCTTGCCTTTTACTTTGCCCTTAACAAGCAACAGCAAAAGCAACCATAAAGGGGTCCATCATTTACACATTTGGAAGTAATATCCAAGAAAAACTATTAATGTAAGGAGGCCCCGGAGGAGCTGAGCATGTATTCCCTTGTAGACTTTGTATTCCTATGGAGGCTTTGTCTTTGATCCACGACCTTAAGGTATCATTTCACTAGGGAGCAGAGAGGCAGAAGGTCTGGATTTTTCACTAAATTGGGAGATCAGCACACTGGCAATGGTCTTACACAGACTGACTGACAGGTCTTAGGAAACCCCTTGTCACCAGTCTCTATCTCTGCTACCTATTCTTCACACCCAACCTTGTCTTTGGCTTTCCCATTCCCACTTTGGTTCACTTTTATGCAGGGCCAGCCTTCCTAAGCTACACTCAGAGACTCTGCAGGCCTGGGGAGAAGTCTCCCCAAGTCAGAGCATGGCAAGTGCACTGGTGAGGGCTTTTCCTGAGCTCTGCAGTGACAGTGGGGAGAACACGTCACAGCAGTAAGCTTGCTCCAACAGGCTCAAAGCACATATGCTCAGGAGTATTTATTCACAGAGGGCAAACTTGCCCAGAGACAACCAGGTAATATGCTCAGCACATCAGGATATGCTGCCCTGGCACAAACTATAGCCCCCCTCTTTTAAGCACTATCAATTATACTGGGATTGTTGCTTTTATGAACTCTGGCCAAGAAGCCAAGAAACTGAGTTGCTTAGCTGGTACAAAACCAATGAGAGAAATATGTGCAACTCTAAAAGTGGTGACTCTTGTCAATATAAAACTGAATACACAATGATTGATCAACTGCTTTTAAAACATGTTATATAAAATCACTTCCGTAGGGAAAAGCAAAACAAAACAACTGCTGGACTATGTTTTACTTCAGAGGCTTCTATTTGATAATTCATATTATATTCACGTAAATTAGTAACTAGTGCTCATCCATATTTAATTATCAGACTGTAGTATCATTAGAGGTAAAAAGAAAATTCACTTGAACAAACCACCTTCACAATTAAACAATAGGATTCCAAGTTTCACTCAGCTGAATTCACATTTGATGAAGCTTTCATACAAGCTGACATCTTTTTCTACACCTAAATTGAATATGCAAAAATGTGCTGTAACTGCAGAAAACCTACAATTAATAAAAAGCAGTTCTTTCCACTTATTATGGCTTATAACTGCCTAAGTCAAGTCTATGAAATCCCTACTCTTCTCATCTGATTTTACTTATTATTCCTTAAAGTCTCCAAAATTAAAATGTAGATTCTAAAAAGAACTACTGCACCAAGATATCACATACAGTAAAAAGCCGAAATCTAGTGACTAAGGTTATAGTTTCGGCTTTGTTATGAACTAGCTATATTACTATGTGAAGTCACTTTGTCAGAAGTTTTTTTCACCCATTATGAAGGTTTGTCTAGATGATTACTAACGTCACCTTCTGGCTCTAAAATTCCGTGATTCTGTTGTATATATCAATCTAAAGCAAGACATAAATAGACTACTTCAATGAGCAACTTCAAAAAGTATCCAATAATCAGTTTGATTCATCCGTCATGCACTGAATCAAATGATTAGAAAAATAAGACAAAAAATGTCTGCAGAAAAACGGCTTAATCATCAGGATCTTTAAAACCAACTTTTGACATTCATGCAGATGGACAATCACTTGTGAACCACAAGGTGAGTGGCCACTTCTACTTGTTATGTCTCGCTGCCAAATTCTACTGTTTCCTTTTTTTTTTTTTTTGGTACCAGGAATCAAACTCAGGACCTTGCGCTTGCCAGGCAGGCGCTTATGCCGCTGAGCTGTATCCCCAGCCCTCTACTGTTTCCTAAACACATTTAACTTCCTGTGATGTCAAAGCCATAGGACGAGTCTCATAAGGCCACTGGCATAGCAGCACTTGAGGGATGTATCACCATGACAACCCTTCTCGATAATTTTGTAGTTACTTCAGATCTAAAAATGTTAATCTACAATGTGTCTTTTTAAAAAAAAGTACCAAAGACTGCAAGTTAACAACAATGTCATTTTTAAAAAAAAGCATTTCATGTGTGATGCTTTTCTTACTTTGCAAGCAAGCTCACATACTTTCAGCACATCCCACTGGATTCTACAAGCCAGTCGGGTCTGGTTGGGAAGTGACCCTGGCTGCCCGGCAGAACCATCTAGGAGAACCCAGGCCGGAACCTAGACCGACAGATCCACGTCGCTAGGATCCGTGCCAGGCATCGCTAATTTTGACAGTGGCTCAGGTGATTCCAACGTGCAGCTAAGACAGACACATAAAGTGAGTTAAAACCAGGCTCCTTGATCTACAGTTCGGGAGTGCTGGGTGACAGGCACAACAGAGGTGGGTGAGGTTTAAAAACAAGTCAGCTCTTCCTACCTACGTCTCTTTGTCAGTGCTCAGAGGAACATTCGAGTGTCACTGCTCCCAGCGGAGGACACTCATCACAAGAACGTGCATCAAGGCCACCCCAGACCAATGATGCTACAAGAGCGGACCTCTGCGCTGGCAGTGATCGCCAGGCAGGCGTTTAGTGGGCTGACTGACTATAACAACAGCTCCTGCTGTGAGGTGTTCATTTTCCCCTGCGTTGCTGTCTCTCCAACGATGAGAGCCACAGTGACTACTTCTTTACACAGAACTAACGACTGGACCCACCGAGGCAAAGCCAAACCAAACCAGCGGTCCCCGGCGTAGTGCCATCCATGGGGACTTGACACGCTTTACAACATTTCCTAGGAGGCCCAGAAAGCAGAAATCACCCCAGATTCTTCACATTAAAATATTCATTGCTCTTGACTAAGATTTTTACCTACTCAATCTGAACTAGCAATCAACTTACATTTGGCCTTGAATTTTGTCCGCTCCTCATTTTATGAGGCACGGAAAAGCAACCTTTCTTGCGGCCACAACGACACTTCAGACACTCAACCAACAGGAGGGAGATCTGTACACACAATCGAACATGCGCGGAAAACTGCCACGGAAATATAACACGCTATACACATTACGAGATTCACCATAAAGAATTGCTTCCTAGCCTTCAACTAGTAAAATGAACAAGCTCCTGGTAACTTGTCCTTGGACTTGCTGTTTCTCTTGTCCACTTTTTCTGGAAAGCAAGCCACTTACATGAAGTTTTGTGTCTCTTAATGGTTATAGAAGTCAGGCATGCTTCCTTCAAACATATGCCTGCCCATCCAAGACTTCCTCTAACAAACACTGGCTAAAATTAACGAGTCACCAGGACAGATCATCTCTACTACAACCCTGGGCTCACTGTCCCCAGGGTACCAATGGCTGACACTTGCCTTCGACCTCCTCAGTCCTCCTCCTCCTCATCCTCCTCCCTCAGACGAAGGCCACCCAAGGGTATCTGACTTCTCGCCACAGAAGGGGAGCTCAGCAGCGCTGAGTGACCGAACGCGGGAGTCTGCCCCATGGGGCTCACCACAGCGGAGTCTGAATCGCTGGATTCAGACTCACTGCTGATGGAACCCTCGGTCATTTGTAGGGGAGCCAGCTGGCCAGCCACGCCGCCGGCACACACCGACTGTATGAGGGGCATCTTGGAGCGGGGACCCGCTAGGGGTGCGCCATTGGCTAGCATTCTACCTTCCGAAGCGGCAGTGCTGGCCAGCTCCCCCTTTTCGTGGTCATCCAGCCTATCCAAGGGCTCTAGGGTGGATGCGACCTGGCTCAGGATGAGTGGGTCTGTCTCTGACTTATTATATCTGCTAGGAAGGTTGCGTAAATACGGCCTTTGCAAGATGGAGGAGTTCTCATCATGGGGATCCTGCTTTGGGAGAGTATCTTCTCCCACACTCCTCTCTCTAAGGTCATGTCCGTTTTCTGAAACATAGCCTTGGGACCCTGTCCTGTCCCAACTCATATTTGGACTTGAACTTCTGCTGCTCGGGGACAGTGGGGTGGCCAAGGGACTATGACCAGCTGAGGCCCTAAACATTTCATCTATCAGGGAGCTATGTCTCGGTAGTCCAGGGCTCCCACTCATATCAAAGGTGATGTCGGCTGAATCATCATCAAGGAACTCTCTGGAAGGAGGCCGGGAAGACTTTGCAGAGGGAGGGGAAGCCCTATGCCTAGCCTCTGCTCGCCTCTCATCCCTGGAGAGCAGATAAACACCACTGGTCAAATCACCCTCATAATTGTCATTTGTTTGGGACCGTGACTGGGACGCTTGTTCTCTGAGAAGGTCGTATTCACTATCTACATCACTGCAGTCAATGAAAGGAATGGAAGTACTGCTGCCTCTAGCAGCCCGGGATGCTGGACCTGTGCTTGGCTGCGGGGGCTGAGGTTTGCAGGGCTGGACCCGGTCCTTGACGCCCTCCTCCTCGTCCTCTTCCTCCTGCGGCACAAGGGTGGCTCCATCTGCCAGTGCGTTCCCTGGAGGGCTCTTCTTCAGAGCAGGGCTCTGGTGGGACCCCGACTCTTCAGCTGAAACTTTCAGTTCCTTTCCTTGCCGGCAGCTCTGGCCACCAGGCGATGGGGTACCTTCTCCAAATGTAAGGCTGGCGCTCTTCGGAGACTGGGTGAGGAGGGAAAACAAGAGGGAAGGGAGAGTATTAGACTAGAGCTAAAAGAGGCAAATGTAACATAACAACATCTCCTGCGGCTCCCAGAAGAGAAAGGACTATGAGACACAGGTTGCCCTGTCCTCCCCAGGGTGAGAAGGACGCACTCCCACAGAAGTCAGTTTGTCATGTTCCAGAAGGTTCTTCAGGATGAGCAGGCTGAGGAGCACAAGTGAGCCGCCATCTCTGCTTGCTAAGACCCTAGTTTCAGATTGAGTTCCCACAGAGTCTACGGGACAAGACAGCCCTTCCAGTACACTAGGGTTTCCCAAGCAAGGGGACCAGGGTCAGAAGGACACTGCTTTCAGAGAAATGCTGACGCCTCCCCCACTTGTACTTCTGAGGGGAGCTGGACAGGTTAGGCTCTCTGTTCGGATCTGCACAGTGAAACCTCTTCCATGTTCTTGCTCAAAAAAGTCCTTCTTCTCTTTGACAGAAAACCCTGAAAATGTACCCAGAGACCAACGCTGGGGAACACGAGCTCTCGCCACCCTCAGAGCAGGAGTGATAATAATGTCTCTTGCTGCCAGTTGTGGTCACTGCTCTGTAATGTGAGCCCTGGGAACTCAATGCCAGCTCTGTGCTGGTGAAGAGTTCCGACCTGGCACCAAGCTGGAGCTATACCCATCAGCGGCAAAGCAGGTCACCATGGCTTCCCACAAGCACCCACTTAGCTGGCTCCAAGGCATACTTCTATCCCTATACTGAATTCACATCCAAAGAGCAAACTTTGCAGGGGCTCAGAACACGCACAGTCAGCTGGAAATAGGCCACACTCTAGGGCCTGCTGGGCCTAGGCTGGGAGCAGAGGGCAAAGCCTACCAGGCTCTCTGCTGCCCATCCCTGCCCCCCAGTTAAAGACACAGGGCCGGAAGGCAGACTGTCAAGTGCAGAGCTCAGCGGAGGGAGATGGAGAGCACAGAACCGAGTGTCACTGTTCCTGACCTGTTTTGGCACTTCTGAATTTGGTTCTGTAGGCTGCGTAGCAAGACTCCTGATGGAATGAATCTTGCTGTGTTTTCTGGAAGAAATCACAGAAGAGAACAAAAGTTAAGAGTTTTTAAATGAAAGAGCCTCTGGCTTGTTTATTTATTTCAGTACTTGGGACTAAACCCAGGGTCTTTGCAGTGAGCTATATCTCAAACCTTTTTTTATTCTGAGACAGGGTCTCTCTAAATTGCTACACTACCCACATTGGGCTCAAATTTTGAGATCCTCCTGGCTCAGCCTTCCAGAGCGCTGAGATTGTGGGCATGTACCTATAATCACCACATTCAGCTAAAAGGTCTCTGTTGGAAGCATTGCGTCCTTAATAACAAAGGCACCTCAAAGAACTTTCACAAATGTGACTTGGCAAGAGATGCACAGCCATCCCTCCCTAACCCCAGGGGTTGTGCACATCCTGAAGTTCTTTGCAGTCCCTGGTTCCAGGTACTGAAGGAGCATGCGCATTTGAGCACTGGCTTCCAGTTGTGGGGAAGTTCATGAGGCAGAGGGGCTGCTGGGCCTTCAGTGGCCGGGAACTGCATGTTGTGGCCTTAGCGATATGGAATCTATCCAGGTATCTGGGCGTGGATTTTCTAGATCAGTTCTACAGCAGAGGTGAGGGCCACTAGTCAGCTCTCTGCCAAAGTGTTAAATTCAGTGGAAAGGGCTGACCTGTAAAAGAATCTGGAGACACAGCAGCAGGGAGAAATGACGAACACAGCTCCTATATCTTTTCCCCTCCTTGCTGCCACCCATCTTTCCTCTGTCCCCACTGATCAGGCATTAGAAACTTTTCAAGTACTTGTCTCAGGTAGGGGGACAAACATTGCAACTAAATTCCCACGTACATTGGCTTTTCTTCCAGTACTTCAAATTCACACAGAAAAGCTCTGGAGCATTCAGGTTCTGGATCAGGGGGATAGCTGGTCACCTCTTATAGGGTCCTTAAAATACTAACTGCTAGTCTTCCAAGAAAAATAGGGGGTTATCTCTTGATACATAAGCAAAAGCCCCTGGAACATTACAATTCTAGATACAGGACACGAGAACGCATCAGTTTGGACTCAGGTTTGTTTCAGCAAACCATTAATACTGAAACAACATGAACGTGTATCCATAGGGAATGAGAGGAATAAACTACAAGGTGTCATAACACTGCAGAACACCCAGTAGGGAGGGTTAAAAACAGATGCAGTCATGGGCATGCCAATGCTCACAGAAATTAAAAGTGCACACCCAGGGTGATTCTCTGTACTCTTCTGGGCTGTGTGAATGGGAACATAAATCTGACAGCTGCCTCAGGGTGGCAGAGAGAGAAGAAGGAAGGCTGTGGTTCAAGGAGGTCTAAGCCATTTCTGAAGCGACAGTAACTACAAACAAAGGAAGAAAAAGAACGCCAGAAACAAGCGTACTGAGATGTGAATGCAGGTTGGTTATCCTTCATCTGCACTGCTTGGGATCAGAGGTGTTTTAAGTTTCAGATTTCTTTGGACTTTGGAATATATATACTGAGATATATTGGGGGTAGCACACACATCTAAACATGAAATTCATTTATACTTCATGTATTTCTTATGCACATAGATTCCCTGAGTGCTACTGTGACTTTAAATATATTATAATAAAAAAAGAAAGTGGAAAAAGAAAGAAACCAATGCACTCAGCAATGCTGCGCCATCCTTTCCTCCTTCACCCACCAACTGAGTCCTTCCTGGGTGGTGAACAGTGCTGAGGTTCTGCACCCAGCTACCCAGTGGCCACTTAGTATGGCTCTGTGTATGCTTTGTCACCTCTGGGCACCTTGGCGTCCCAGGTTTCACAAGGGAATAAAAGAATCCTGACTGCACAGAGGCGGTGTAAAGAGTTAATACGATCAGGTTGCTTGCTAGCAAGAATAGTAAAAGTGATAAACCCTCTTTCTTCTCATCCAGGCCTTACTGAATTAAAGTTTCCAGAAATACTTTCTGATCATGCCTCCAGATATTTAAAGACTCACGGATGCAGAGCTGTCCCTGTGCCTCAGCTAGCCTTGCGCTCTGCGGGCCGCACTGCCCCGTTGTCTTTTCTTCTTTGTCTCCCTCTTACCTGTGTGCACGCCCCAGGGCCCTGAGACATTCCAGTCTCACACCACACTTCCTGGGGTTGACCGCGCAGCTGGAATTCCGCGACTCTGCCCACCTCGAGCGCGGGTGAAGAATTGTCTGGCATCAGTGTACTGTTCCTGGAGCGTGTGCAGCTAGCACTGAAGCCCCGCTTACCTTTCAAACTGCACTTTCTTGTGTCCTCCTTCCTTAACGTAGTCGAGAACCTGCTTCTGAGTCCGACCGCTAAAGCGAAGGCCACAAAGGAAAGGAAAGGGAAGAGAAAAGACACCAGGACATTCTCATTTAAACACAAACACAGTACATCATCTTTGCTTCTTCTCCTGCCATAACTAGGAGACATGCAGGTGTCTTCTGCTAGCCAGGAACAAAAGCCGTCCTAAGAGAACCCATGCTGTGTGTCTGCTCAATCTCTTGCTATTTCCCTTGTACATACTGAAACATTTAATTATCTAAACCCACTTAGTCACTGTGATTGGTTATGAACCAACCATCCCATGAGTCTGTGCCTTTCATGAAAGGAGGGGCAATCTGGTAGTTAGATTCCCAAGAGGCCTACCACATGTGGCAGACACTCTGATATTTACTGAAAAAATGAATGGAAAAGTGAACCAACTTGATGGTAAGTCTATCTATCAGTCTGGGCAGCAACAGCAACTGTAAATAAAACACTTCCTCTCCTACAGAGAAAGGAAATCCTTTCTGCATTAGAGCATAGAGTCAGGGGTTTCTGTGGCTGGGTAGCTTGCCAAATGGCTCGCTAAGGTTCAAACGGAGCCCAGAGGGTGATCCTGGGAGCCAGCTGAGTGACCGAGACCATGCCCCCAGCCAGCTTCTTCAGGGTAGTGAGTGTTTGTCTCACTGACTTCCTGTGTGTTACGAGAGGTGTTAGGAGAAGTCTCAGAAGAAAATGTTCCCATCATAAGCAAACGGGTGGACTGGCACCCTTACCTGAACCGAAACGATGACCCTCGACTAAAGAGAACAGGCTTTGGCTTTGGTTTGGGCTCTTCAAAAAGTCTAAAAAAGGCATGATGTTCAACACAGATTTTCCAGAAGGACTTGCAGAAATCCCGACTGGCCATGAGGAATTCCAGGGTATCCTGGTATGAGCTCTAAAAAGAGAAAATACTCTCACTGCTCACAGATATTCTGTTGGAATATGAAGAGCAATGAAAATGAATTTGCCCAACAAAATTTCTGTTACGTATTTTATTATAGCAAGACCACGGATTCAAAGATTTAGTAAAATATACTTGTTCCTAATGACAGGTTGTAGTCACTTGTCAACCGTCTCCTTCTCCACAGAATTCCTCACAGCAATGGAAAACAGAGATACAGATTGAGCGGAAGTGATACCACTCGACAGAACAGTATGTTTCCTTGGCTTACACTTCCTTCAAAAACTCTAAGTATTAAAATCTTCTCCCTGCCCCCCGCCTCTTTAAAATAGCAGAAAAACATTTCTTCTTTCTGTGTTTCCCCTCACAGTTTGCGTCAACACTGACTTTTCTCATCATTTCTCTGTAATACACCACACGCCTCAAGCCTCCAGGTGGCCCCAGAAACTATACAGGAAATGAAACTTATTTTCTGGAGCACAAAAGTATTACCATCAGCTGAAAAATTTGTGTCGTTTGATTCCGGAAAGAGAATATGGTAATTTTCGCCTCCCACACTGAATGCTCCCAATTTCAGCAGCCATGTTACATAAACAGAAGTTACCACAGTCCATCAATCCTTGGTGTTTCCAACTATATTAGGGGATGGATCTCACTGTTCTGGGCAGACCCAACTTACAGACATGCGCTGTGGTTCTCCCTTTGTAAGTCAGCTTTCTGGACTCACAGGGAGCCATTTTTAATGGTATCTGCTTCCCAATCAGGCCATGGAGACCTACCTGAACTTTATTGGAGCTAAGCTATAACTTAAACTCTTGCTGGTCACTTTTTTGGTTCCCCACGTGAAGAAGAACTCCTAAGTTGTGGGTGGGAACAGGCATCATTTCCTCCACAGAAGATGCTGTCCTCCCTTTCCAACCTTGTCCCCACAGAGAGGTCCATACTTTTAGGTATCCTATGGGAAGTGGGGAGGAGCTGGGAAGTCTGTGAGAATGAGCTCTGTCTGTGATGTGGGGACAATGGCAGGGACTAGAGAGGGGGGACTCTCCTGGAGGGCAGGGCTATGTCTGCAGCAGGGCAGAATGCTGACTGGGTTTTGAAGTGGGGCCAAGGGCTGGACACACAGCAGCAGCTCAGTTATCTGTTATTTCCTTCTGTGCAGGTAAATGACTCTGTCCCCAAATATACATCTGTGCACGCTCCTGACCCTCCTGGGTACCAAGGGTAACATCAGGGAGTTACCAAGCATTTGGATACAGTTATCTACACAGACCCCCAGCCCTCATCTTTACACATGCTTCTGGGCAGCGGCGGGCCACAACTTCCGGGCAAGTTCTGCTGAGAACAGACCTCAAGCCCTGCACCGCAAATCTAGCCACAGTGCAGCTGGTCCCTTCCAGGCCGAGCCACTTACGTTCACGTCAGGGCGGAGCTTGATGAGAAAGCGCTTCCGCTTGAAGCTCAGCTTCCGCACTTTGGCCCAGTTGAAGGCGTTGATCTTGGTGAAACCCTAAGAAGAAAGAGCAGCCAGTGAGCCGGGCTGTGCATAACAAGCAAGGCAGGGGTGAAGGCAGAGGGCTGACGTTCAGGAAACGTGCCTCCAGCTGGAGCACACACAGATCTGTGGGCATCGGATTTACACGTTCCTGGATCATTATTTCTCACTAATTACCTGATCTGGCATTCATACTAAGTCTGCCTCCAGGAGAGAAGGAGCTGATCATGGTAATGATAAAAAGACAAGTAAAACTAAAACCATGACAACCACCACAATAAATTAGCAGCCATCCCTTTGGGACCAGCAGGTACTTTCCTAAGGGCTTTATCTATCTTACCAAATTTCATAGGAAACCTAGTGACAAAAACTGCAACATGGATGTATTTTACTTTACCTCACTGTTAATGTGGCACGCAGCCTTAACTAGCAGCTACGGTTAATACAGCATGAGCAACAGAGCCACTTGTCCACAGGGGTCACACACCTGCGTCCACCAAGTTTCCCAAAGAATCTCACATAGCCAGGGACGAGGACCAGGTCCACCAGGCATCTTCAGTGGCCACCCCACACCTCTGCGTGGGACACACATAGGGTAAGTGGCTTCAGACAGGTGGGATGTGGTGGAGAACCAGAGAACTTGCCAGCTATGAATTCCTACCCATTCTGACTCCACGGAAATTAGGATTCCCCTGTGTGGTCCTCTGAACACCAGGTTCATTTATTCAACACAGTAGGAATGAAATAATTGGGCACCAGTGGGTGGAAGATGAACTCAAAGACACAGCCTTTGCATACGCCTGAAAAGCTGAATCACCCATGACTGAATCACCCAGCAATGCTCAATATTTAGCTTGTATCAACAAAAAGCAATTTAATTCCATTGTGAGATACCATTTCCCCCTTCTGTATAAGTTTTTAGAAATCTTTAAAGGTTGTGGTTTTGAAATTTAATAGTGGTAATGAAACCACACTTCTTCTTCTTCTTATTATTATTATTGTTATTATTTTTAATCAGGTGCTCATGGATTATTCACAAAGGTCAAAAATTATTAGGAGCAATCTCCTCCTCCAATACCACTCTGCTCTCAGAATGTCATTTCTGACATGCAACCCAAGTCTAATTCTTCTTAGGGTGTGATTCCAATGTGTAATAATTAGCATCTGTCACAAACGTCTGATGTGTGAGCCAAAAACTCCCACGACTCTTGGTAAATGTGGAGAAGGAACCTAAGCAGCTAGCAGGGCTCACGAAGGGCAGACACATTTTACAGCTTCAAAATGGGGTGAAATCTGACCCTTTCCATCAGAAAGATGGATGCTTCCTATGTAGCCATTCAAAAGGAAAGCACAAGTTACCCACTTATGTTTAAAAGAAAGGTGTTGTGGAAACATTTAGGGGGGTGGCTGTGGTTTAAGCGTATCACCCAAAGGTTCTAGCACCGGAGGCCTGGTCCCAGTGGTGGTGGCATCTTTGAGAGACGGGTCTAGTGAAGGTCCTCAGGTCACTGAGGGTGTGTTCTTGGAAGGGATTAGTGCCGTTCTCTGGAGATCCCAGCTGCTCTTTGGCTTCCTGTCTGGTGATGTGATCACTTCCTTTCCCATGAGCTTCTGCCACTGCATCTGCCATGAAGGGACACAGCCAGAAGGCCCTGCCCAGAATTGCTGCTATGCGCTCTGGATTTTTAGACTCCAAAATTGTGAGCTAAATAAACCTCTTTTCTTTGTGTTAACCAGCCTCAGATATTTCATATAACAAAAAAGGGATTCCTACAAGGGTGATAAATATATTTATTATCTTGATCTCATTGATGGTTTCATAAGAACTTATCGAACCACATTGTAAACATATGCAGGGATGTCACTTTAACGAAGCTATTAAGAGAAGAGCATTGATAAATAAAATGGTCCAACAGGCGGACGACTAAGAGCACACATTTTTGAGAGTAGGGTATCATTATGCCCTTGGGTAAAATACAGGTAAGAATTTAAGCACAGGGTTTGTTTCTTCTGGAAAATTATTGCAGTGCAAGGGTACAGCTTTTATGAATGTATAAAACTGCTCTATCTCAAAAGTATGAATCATGCATTATAAGTTAGCCATATTTAAAGTCACAAGGAAGCTGGCTCAACCCAAATTGGACGTAAAAAAGGATCACATTACAGCAAAATGCCATCTTCCAGTGTGAAGAGGTGTTTATATCCTGGGTTCTGAAATCTTGATTCCATTAGAGGATGTTCTAAGCATGAGATACAGGCTATGTACCTACAAAGTCAATAAACCCAAACGAATCTTAATACAGCTTTCCCAACCAGCACAAGAGTGAATGGAAAAGAATCGGGAAGTAAGAGTCTGGAAAACAGAAGCCTGAGGTGTGGTTACTTGTTCCTGTTCCCTTAAAAATGGCGATGAGGTCTTAGCTCGGCCACTGACATGCATGGGGGAAGGACCGCTCCCCTCCCGCCCTCCCCAGCATGCTCACCTGAAACACGAGGATCCCAGTGTTGGCGACGGCCAAGTTGATCTTAGTGCCTTCCCTGTCCTTGGCTGGGTGCAAACGGATTCCGTACATCTCCAGCCGTCGGGCCACCTCCAGGAGCTGGAAATCTGACTCTGCTGGAGTTTGCCCACTGACAAAGAAAAAGGCCAGGGGATTTGAATTCCCTGTGTGTATCTGAGACTCAGCAACTTCTCCTGGGAAATAAAAGGCACTTCACTGCAAACAGTGGGGCTCCCAGATCAGATGACACCCAGCCTCCCGTTCGGTAAACCCAGAGCCTAGCAGCTCGGACAAAAGCTCTATTGCTTGAGTAACACAAAACCCAAAAGTCTATCTTGAACTCGGCCAGATTTCTGGACTCTCAGACTTTCCTCTAAGGTCACCTAAAAGCAAAACATCGCTGTATTAAACAAATACTTGGTTACAATAATCCAAACTTGCAGACCAAGTTCAAGGAACAAGCCATTTCCTACTTTTGCCAGGTCTTAGACCAACAAGAAGATGCTCAGAGAATCCTTTAACTATCTTCTACTGATCAAAGCACAAACCAAAAAGCAAAAACCAAAGGAAGATATTATCCAGATTCTGGAGTTTTATTATATCCTTTTGCTGTGCCTAATTTACCACGCTCCTTCCCCATACCCTGTTAAGCTGGTAATTGAATGGCCTTGGAGTTTACACTCTCCCTGTTATTTCAAAGCTTCCATGCCCTAATATTCCAGGCTCACAGGTCTCATAGGAGGCACACCAGGCCCTAGCTCCTTGGCACAACGTCCCAGGGACCTCTCTGCCCTTCTGTCCTGGCTTTGTGTATTTCATCAGGGTTATGGGTGCATGTATGTACGAACGTGTATACACCCATGTACGCTGGGAGGCAGAGAATAACGCAGCTCAAGCCATGCAAGAGACTTACATGTGGTTATGGTGAAATTCCACAATTTTGTCTTCTAGTGCATCTTGCTGAGGTATGTACTTATTTTTCGCTAAGTGCTCTCTGTCCAATGCTTCATCAAAATCCCCAATCTCGGCTACAAAGAAACAGAAAAAGAAAAAAATAGGCCAAGTAGGATGAAGACTTCACAGTCTCTTGTACTGCCTAACAAGCCAGCCAGAAATTAGCAGACAATATGAGACGGGCCCAGTTGGAAGGACGGCTTGAGGGGCTCAAGGTCAAAGGTGGGGCTACGAGGGCATAGTTCACAATTCTGACAACATAGAAAGACTTCCTACTCCTTCTCATTGCTAACAGTTGGAAAGAAAACTTCACTGTCATCTATCTGCAGTCATACATGTTCTTGATCTCTACCTTTATTTTGTTTTTATTGTTTTAATAAACATGTTGTAATGGACACATATTCTTTACATATATTTCTGGGATGGTGCAGTTTTTCAATACATGTATACAATTATAATGATCAGATCAAGGCCACTGCCATATTTATCACCTCAACATACACCACTTTTTTGCACTGAGAGCATTCAAACGCCTCTCCACTAGCCATTTAGAAATATTCTATCATTGTTGTCAACCGTAGTGGCCCGACTGTGCTACACAGAATTATCAGAAGTTGTTCATCCTTTCTTTCTTCCCCACTCACTTCAGGGAGCACTTTCCATCTCAGCAGTAAAATCTAGCCATGCAGGTGATCACAGACCCTGGAGCTGTAGGACTTTACAAAATTACCCTCTGAAACTCTTAAACATAACAGAGCAGAAGCCAAACCCTCAGAGCCTTTAATGTGGAGAGTAAAGAGAAGTGTAAGTGGGTGTAAACATACATAATGTTTTCTCAAAAAATTGAAAGAGTTTATTAGTTTTATATTCCTGTTGTCAGAAATAATGATCCGAACAGGAAATTCTTCCTCATCTTTATCGGTAAGAAATACGATGCATTTGCTCATGTAACTTCAACACGGGCCTTGAAATTGCTGTGATGTGGAAGTTCAAAGCACAGGACTTAAAAAGAGTAATTGTACTTTGGCTTAAAAACACCAGCTCAAGCTCAGGTGACAACTTCTACAAGGCCCCTGAGACAAGGTTTTTACTCGGTTCCTAAGTCAGTGTAACAAGTGGAATAAAAAGCAGCCTAATGACCAGGGCCCAGATGTTTTGATGAGAAGCGAGTGAGTGAGTGCTTTTGTTTTGGCCTGTGCAGCAGGCAATGCCCCTCCAGTCTTATGCTACATGGTGTCATAAATCACATCCACCGAGACTTGCTCTGCACAGAGCAGTGCCAAGTCACCTGCAGCAGCTGGGCCACCGGAGAAATCCCTCACTCGCTGGCTTCCTCCTGCTAAGACCAGCCACACATTTTTCCTAATTAGAGTCAGACTGCTGCTCTCCATCACAGAAAACAGCGCAGAAGTGAGGGACATCCCAGGGACACTGCCATTGTTATCTATGGTACCTAGACAATAGTGACTTCATTTTTCTGCATTCCTTTCTCGGGTCTCAAGAAAGTACAGTTGATTCTTATGCCAGGTTGTTATGATTTTAAGAAGTCACTGTGAACACTGAATTAGCGATTACTGAACCACCACTCCTAGGGGAAACCCAGGGTTAGGCTCCTGTGAAACTCCTGCAAAAATAATTTCATTAACTGACGTTTTTATGTGTGTTTCTGCTGAAAGACGTCTTGTTTAATACACATCATCAATTCTTTCACACTGAACTCACGGCCAATAGCAGCAGAACCCATGCTTGAATGAGACTCCTCTAACACACTTATTTGCTTCCTAAGGCACGTCACGCTGCGTGTGGAGCCCTAAACGGCCCTTCAGCACCGAGCTTAGGGGCCAATTTGAACACAGAAATCACTCACAGTATCACAAAAATTCCAAAAGCATAGCATTAAGCAGCCCGAGGAAAAGGATGCTTGTTAGCATCTGCGAGCTGAAATGTGGTGGCAGGTCCCGGCCTTGTCCCGCTCAGCTGGGCACGGGTACATCAGGTGGCTCCATTCCTCACTACCAGCAAGTGACAGTCAGCTCAGAGTATGATGCGGGCATACATGTCAGCAAACGGAGGAATTTGTGATTACAGAATTTGAGAGCAATGAAGATTGACTGGATGGGAGAAATCAACTAGATTCTAAATTCCTTGAGCACTTTTGTTTTAGGCTTCTTATGGTCTGTGGATCTGATGACCTGCTTTCCCACAGTTCGGCATAGAGCAGTGATGCATTCTGGCTTTTCCTTCGGCACCAGGGACAACACATCTAAGCCTCTTTTCTCTTGCATCAGTAGCTTCGCAGCACGTCCTCAAATGCAACACGATCTATGACTATGAAATTCACTCGCTCCCTAAGCGTTCTTCTCCTCTATGAAACAACTCCAGAGAGAAGGGACAGTGATGGCAGTTTTGTATCAAGGCCAATGTGCCCTATTTAATAACAAATATTAAACCTGAGGGCAGGCCAGAGCAAGCTGGGCCTGTTTGGCCACTGTGCATGCAAGTTTCTCCTTTGAGACAAGTGAGACATCAGGTACACACTCGTCCTTCAGTAAGGGAGACAAACGCCAGAATGCAGAACTCACAGGGTAACATTTGGGGATGTGCATATAAGATGAACTTAGGGGTGCTACATTCTCTTCCACTTCAGCTATTCATATAGCAAAGATAACACATTCTCATGGTTGTTTTTGTGTGTCTATGTGATTTTTCCCCCTATCAGTCAGATCACCATGTTGTTTCCAACATCCAAGGAAGCAGACAGAACTTACATTGTACAATGTGTGAGATCAAGAGTGCGGCGCTGGTGTCATTACATGTCAACCTGCCGTGAGCCAAGTCCTGCTTCACCTGCAGAGCGAACAGGTACCTGCCAAGGCCAACAGAGAGAGAGAGACAGGTGTCACACAAGGGAGCAGAGGGTCACAGGAGAGGTGGGCCTGACCCTGCAGCCCATGCGCACCCCGAGAACCTAAAGACGATGCCCAAGCCAAGTGACAAGAAGGGCTGCAGCACGGGCATGGGAAGGTGCCACTCACTGTGGAGTCAATACTCACCATCCTAAAATGCTAGAGAACGGCAGGCATATGATGCAGTCTTTTCACACAATGGCCAACATGTGTCATCTTATAGGGAGAGTCACAAAAATGTATAACTATAACCTACAACCCCCTGTGTGTGTGGGGTGTGTGTGTGTGTGTGTGTGTAGGTGTGTGAGATACATTTAAAACTTTTCCACAGGATCAGCCAACATACTCTCAAGTGGCTACATCACTAAGAAAATAACAGCAACTTATTGTGGGCAGCATGAGCTTTGCAAGTGACTCAGAAAGACAAAGGTGTCTTTTCTATAATGTAATATTCACTTTAGCCACCTCCATAACTCTTACTTACCAGACCTGTAAAATGCAATTTAAGTTATTTTTAAATTCTCTTCTTTGTACTGTTGGTTAAAGCAAGTCAACATTTTTGGTATAAGACAGTGATGGCAAACCCTTTAGAGCTTTCACTAATGCAAACAGCCCGCCACGGCATGGGTACCATAGGCTGACCACCACTGGCATGAGAGAAGATAGATGTTTACACCTCAAAGAAATTAAGTAAAAATCTGTGCACTGTTAAAATGGGTTTGAAAATATCTATATAAACTCATATATTTTTAGAAGGGTATTGACTACTGTTGCCCACTGCCTGGAAACTGTGTCTTCTCCATAGCAACCGTTAGTAACCAGATTCTGTCCCTCATATGGTACCCAGGGGAAGGACATAGGCAGGTCCTCGGAGAAATGGTAGATTCCAGGTCTCAGGTAGCAAAGGGAGCAAGGGAAGCTTGGAAATTCTACAGATGTTGGGAAGCAAGGCAGCTTTTACAAACACATAACACAAACACAAGGCAGCTTTTACAAACGCATAAACTGTACCAAAGGGCAAAAGAAGTATCTTAAAGGGACCTCACTGGCCATAGGTCACAATCACCTGAAGAGCAATAAAAATGATTAAAGTGACTCCAACATGCTGAATTAGTGAAAATCCTTGAGTCCATAATGAGAGAGAATTAAATACATTACCATTGCAGAATGATTAAAACAACTTCATCATCAAAAAATGGTCATCAAATGTAAGAACTGAGCTTGTAACTTGTCTCTCCAGCAGGAGGCATCTTCGAATAGTTAGAGAGCCCACAGCGATGAAGTAAGGCTTTACTTCACAGGAGAACACAGCAGGAATGATGAGATTAGAAAATCAGTGCTCCACAATCTCTCAAGAAATCACTGACTCCAGCAAAGATTGACAGTCGGTACAAATCTCACTTAGGAAACCGGAGAGTCACACAGGGATGAAGAAACAGAGCTTCACAATGGGAAGACTGGAATGTCACCACTTTAAGTCAGTGAGCAATCCCAGCATCTTTCATGAGATGTGGTGTATATAAAACCACTTAGGGTGGATTCCAGCCAAAAATGATTAACTGGATCCATCAAGCCTTTGAAAGAAATTTCTAGTTTACAGGAAAATACGAAAGTTTTGAAGAATAAACTAAATAGCACCATAAGAACCAAGACAAAAACATAAGGTAGGATACCATGAAAGGAAAAAAATGAGAAACTAAGCCAGATTTAAAAGGCTCGGAGGAAATAAGCAGCTGTAAGATGTGGTCATACAGTGAATCCTACTTTAGAACAAACAGATGTAATTGACAGCTGGGGGAAAAGTAGTGAATTAAGTATGGCCAAGGTGTTAGAAGAGATTAAAAAAAATCAGAAAGGATATCACACTAATGTGATATGCAACATCGTGCAGTATTTTTATTTCCTTAGTCTTTTATATTCTAACTTTCTATGCTGTACAGTTAATATCTTTGTAATAATAGTAAGTTTTCATTCTATGTTTTTTGCAATGTTGGGGGCTGGAATCCAGGGTCTTATGTATGCTTGGCAGGCTGGACCACTGAGCCACACCCTCAGCCCTATTTTTAATTCTAAAGAAAGATCTTTAATGATACCAACTGAAGTTTCCATAAGCATTACGTGAGATAACACATAGAGAACACAGAGACGAGAAGAGAAACATTGAACAAATGCTCCCAATCTTTTAAAAATAAGAGAGTCACTAATCCTCTTTAAGTCATTCGGGATGTTCCCTTTTTAAGAACCGAAAAACACAGAGGCAATTGTATAGCCAGCGAATAAAAACAAAACAAGAGCCACACTGTGGCGCTACCAGCTGACAAGGGTGACCTTTATCCAACCTCCCTGTGTTTGTTCTTCTCTGTCGCTTTTCCCAGCACCCTCTTCCTTACTCTCTCTGGAAAGTCAAAGGGAAGCAAAGTGGAGAACACGAACCAACCCAATTGTTCCCTCCAGACTCCTCCTGGGTGAGACAGCGGTCCTCGTCCCTTGAGCCCAACACTTCGCTGACCTACAAGCTTTCATTCTAATGTGTGGTTAAATTTTCAAGTAGGAGGGCTTTATGTTTTAAAAGCATTACAGTTTGGCTATTTTCCCACTCACCAGTTCCAGCAGGGCTCTGTGTTTACACAGGAGTGCAGAGGGACAGTCACCGACAGAGTCTGGCTTTGGGGACACTTGATGCCAGTCTCACGGGGGCTGTGTGGCTGCGGCGGGCTCTGGGGGTGTACACAGGGACGAGGAGCGCACATCCTTTCTAAGGAATCGAGGGAGCCTGTGTCACCCTGATTGTGCTGACCGTCCCTACTTGGAGGCCCAGGTAACATGAGAAACACCCTTTGGGTACGGCCTGTCGCTGTCCTGAGCAACATAGGCTGTAAGCTGAGTGTGCCGGCCGCAGTGCCAACTTCAGACTCAGCGACACCTCTGTCACTAGAAATGGAAGCCAGGCCAATGGGTCCGCAGGAGCTGAGGCTGACTTTAATCTGCTCAATAAAATGAAACCAGGGAACACTGTGAAAACCAAAGGCTCAAAGCGGAATCAGCTCTCCCTGGCAAAGGCGGGTGTGGGACTAATGACGGGGGCTTTACTTAACGGAGACAGCAAGTTACACAACACACCCACCCTGCGCCTTATTTACAACACATCTATTTTAATTTAACTCATTTGGGAGGCCTTAATCTCTTTTCTTTTCTCATTAAATGAAGTCATTCCTTGACAGTCTAGGGGAATGTCAGCTGGCATTCCCAGGGCAGCAAATCCAGCAGTATGGGCTACCTAGCACAAGAACCCAAATGGGAAGGAACGGGATGCCCCAGGCCGGGGAGGAGCTGAGGTTTAACTGTCTTGTATAGGCACAGGGAAATTGACTGAGCTCTGCAGTGCGGCAACCCCTGCGTGCTGTTTTCACCCTGCACCTGGGTTGGGACGTTTCTCCTAGAAGCCTGGGTGCTGCTGTTGATATAACAGAGTCCACTGAATGTGTAGTTTAATAACTAGAAAGGAATTTGGCTTTCTATTGAAGAGTGAGGTGCAATTTAATCTCTAGCTGTATAAACAGGAAGTAGAAAGCTACACCTGGAAGCCAAAGAACCAACTGTAAAGCTAGAATCGCACAGGTCTGCTATGTGCAGACCAGATGCTCCGTCTCCCCTGCAAACCACCAATGACACGGAGCTTCCCCCAGCCTCTGCATCCACCAGAGAAAAGTGCCTGAAATGCCCCTGGGCTCGTCCTGATGGCGCAGCTCCTGCAGGGATCTGAGTGTGGAAGCCTCCACACGGTGGTGCTTCGAGGATCCCTGCATGTGACACTGCATGCCAAGGTGTGTGGGGGGGTTGAGGGATACAGCAGAAATTTCAGATTGATTTTATTCAATGTTGAGCCGTATGAGTTTTCTTCTTGGAAAAGATTTTCAATTCACATAGGAGGCAGAAAAAGAAAACAACCAAAATCAAAACCTGCCTTGTTGGGCGATGCTTGTGTAACTAGGAACTTATCAGTGTTGACAGAGGGGCTGGCCAAGGGCCAGGCACCTCTGGTGTCCATGGTAAAAAGCTGTGTGGAGTTTCAGAGTAAGACCAGAATGGTAGAAAAACTGCTTTGTAAAAATGAAAAAGGTGCAAAATTATTTGCAAAGTAGAATTCTCAGTGGAAACATGGGAGGAGGGTTTCATGCCTACACCGTTCCAAGCAGGGAAGAGGCCTGCTAACGGGCAGGGGGAAAACGCCAGCTGACCACCAGCTGGACTCGTGCCTTGATTTATGTCAGGGCACTGAGCTCAGGATAATGCATGTTGCAACACCAGAAAGCCAGTCCTGGAAACTGCTACAGCGGACCCTGTGGAGACCCGGCTCGAAGGCCCAAGGTCTCTGCAGCTAAGGGCTGTCCAACTGCAAGGATTTCCCAGAAGGCTGGCGGCTTCTGCCAACCCCTGGCTGCCTTCAGCTCCTTTATGATCTGGTGGTGGTGGTGAGTGGAGGCAGCCAAGCAATGGCCTCTCAGGCGGAAAAGGAAGCAGCAGTGTCTCCGTGGAACTCCGCTCCTGTATGTACCCGATCACCTTCTTGAGAAAGCCGTGCGGTGGTGGATAGGTTATCAAACATAACCGGCCAGAACCACCCCTGACTCTCTGTCCCTCCGAATCTTCCACTGCAGCCTTCCCCTGCTGCAGTCATCGCCACCACCAGCCACAGCACCTGTCGCTCAGGTCTAAGCCTGGGAGATCCCTCTGCTTTCCACAGACTCCACCTCCAAACCATCCCCAGGATGCACGGGTCTTTCCTCCGTGAAACACCCCAAACACAACCACTTGATCTGCTTCCAAGCTACCACCTGCTTCACTGCCACGTCTTGGCCTGGACCGCTTGCTGCCAATCTTCCATGCTGGGTTCCCTGAGATTTGCACCACCCCCTGCAGCACCCTCAAGACACCTGGTCTTTCACACTCACGTACCTTTCTCCTGCCTCCCTCCCGGCACAGCGCCACAGCGTTCCTGCCTCAGGGCCGCTCCAAAGGACCCAAATAGAAGCATGGCGCTTGTTCCTGGCACGGGCATTGTGCTGCCCACTCCTCTCTGGAAAGCTCTTCCTCAGAAAATGCCTAACAGGTCTTTATCATCTTACTCAGCCGCCTAACACTGTCACCCAGTCATTTCTATCACTTCATCCTACTTCAGTTACCTCAAGACCTCTTGCAGGGACCTGATATTTTCCTTACTTAGTCATTTTCTGTTTCCACAAGAGTCAAGACATCTTTTCACCACTGCCTTCCCAAGGCCAAGATCACTGCTGACACGTGGTGCATACTTAATAAACACTGGTGACTGGATGTTTTCAGCCCTTTGAGAAGTAAGGTCGGCTGCCTGAGATCTTATGCTCTGTACTGAGCAGGATGAGACAGACAGATGGTCTTGGTCTTCATGAGCCACAGCGTGAAAGGCACACATGACAAGAATCTGGCCGGTCACACTGGCTCACCCAGAAAAGTCCTCTCAAAAGGGAGCTTTGTCCTCATGAGTTCCTGCCCTGCTCTTGCCTGGAACCCACCTATGTGCTGTCTCACACTGTAAAATGGGGACTGGCTGTGAGGACAACAGTGAGGGGACATGGGAATGATCCTGACAGTCATGATAGTGACAATGGCTGTGGTGGTGGCGGCATCCATGATGGTGGTGACGATCACCACTTACAGTGTTCCTTCTGGATACCAGCCATGCTATGTGCTTATCCCCAAAACAACCAACCGAGCATGCATTATCTTCTGCACTGTCAGAGGTGAGTTAACAGTGGCGCAGAGGAAACAAGTAGCTGGCTGGCCACACGGCTGGCAAGTGGCAGGACTGACGGCTGACGCCAAGCCCGACCCAACAACACCATGCTTCTTCCACCTGGCTGCACGGTCCGAGACCCTGACCTACACTTCAGTCAAATTCACCCATCCGTGCCAGCAGCAAAGATAAACCTTGAACTGACAGCGGGGTTTCACAGAAGGGACTTCTTTCCCAAAACTACCTCAGGGTGTGATTGACACAAGATGGAAAATATGACATCAACAGGTTCCAAGTGCAGTTCACATCTCACATCACTTTCTTAAAGAAACCAGACTCCACCTCCTGGCACAGGGGAGATCTGGAACTTTCTTTGCCTTTATTTTTGTAGGCAGAGAGAGAAAAGAGGGTAAAACCGGAGCACAGAACAGATGCTGGTCCAATAAATATTGTGAAAATGTTTAATCAGTTCAGAAGATGAATGTTCTCTTTTCCTCTGTACACTGCAGCAACACTCCCCACCTCAAAAAAAAAAAAAAAAAAAACCACCCAGTTTCCAAACCACTAACCTTGTGAGTTCTTCTTGGAGCTGTGTGTGGTCAGGTGGAAAGAATTTCACCACAAACTTAACAACAACATGCTTTGGCCCTAAGGAAGAAGAACAACAGCAAAAGTTCAGTACAGCATTTACTGATCAGTGTTTCAAATGCCATTAGTAAAAAGCCTTTCTAAGGCACATTATATGCCAAATAACACATCTCATTCCAACCTCCCCAGAGAGTGTCTGCCCCCTCCAAGCCACTGAATGACCAGCCAAGTGCTGCTACTTTCACAGCATGGGATAACAGGTATCTGCTCTTTGAAAAGCTCTGACAACCGTGCTACACTGAATGATTAAATGTTTTCTCTGGGGACTTCAACTAAACTCACTTTTTAAACAAAGCCATTTGTCTCTAGCAATGTATGTAACTGGCAACTTTTATCCAAATACAGGCTTTGGATAATTTAAGAAGGAGGTAATGACAATATAAGCAAGCTACACCATTTATTCTGTTTCGCTGTTTGTAAGGAACACACTTCACTGTGCTCATCAAACGTGTTTCTAGGGCCCCAGGGCCCCCTGAGCTCTGGAAACACAAATGAGGTGAGGCCTTGCCTGTGTCACAGCCAACGAAAGCCTTAATGAGTATCTCAGACATCTTTCCAATGACTTATGACAAAGTCAAGAAGCAGCTGTTGGAGTGGGGAGGGGACAGACGAAGAATAAGATGGGCAACTTTTCAGAATTAAAAGAGAACATCAAATAGATTGCAATACAATAATCGGAGGTATGAGTCAGGTTTTTGTGTGCTGGTGTGTAAGCCACAATAGTCTTACAGGTTCTGCATTTGGAAGGATAGCATGGAATGATGTTCCATGAAATATAAAGTACAATAATGAAATCCTATTATTGTTTGCCTCCTCCTCCTCCTCCTCCTCATCGGCTTTGCTGGGGATTGAGCCCAGGGCCTCACACGTGGTAGGTAAGCAAGCTACAGCTCTATGAAAGACAAATTTTAACATTAGCTTTCATTACAAAAGAAAAATCCTTTTCCTCCACTGTTTGTGATGCGACACAAAACAGCCACTACATATTTTTTGTGAGTAAAAACATAGAAAAAAATCCCGATGTATCACAAGGTGAAGGTGTTGGCCATATACGCAAAACTGGGAGAAAAGACAAGGCGCAGGAACGCTGAGGCCAAGACAGGCCGAGCTGCTCTCCCCAAGGAACCCGAAGATGAGCAGAAGCCCTGCACGTCTGGCCCAGAGCGCAAAGTAACAGCAGTGAGGTGAGGAAGATGGAGGCTGTGCTGCCACCTCTTAGCCATTCCCGAGAAGGAATGAAAAGAGGTCACTCAGGTCCACACAGACCCTGAGGCTATAAAGGTGCCAGCACTCAGTGGAAAGTGACGGCTCTGTCACACCAGGCCAGTCAGACCATATGGAGGAGACAAAAAGGTATCACCCTGCTCCGGTTCCCACCTGACAACCTGCTGAACAAACACCTCCCACCGCGAGCAGCGGCCCCTGCAAGAATCACTGCAGGGCCAGACAGCAGTCTGTAGGCTCGGGGCCACCTCCACCCGCCAGGCCTTGGCGCTGCTCACAGCAATGTGACCCGCACTAGTGTTTAGTCACTGCCAGCAGGGGCCAGCTCCCCCGAGACACCCAGTAAACATCCAATAAATGACAGCTCTTTCATTTTCAGCGTCAATAATTGCTTAATTGAAATGACAGAGGACCAACATCAATTTCAGCTGCACGAGGCCATACTGACACTGCGCTGCGTCGTTGTGACAGCCACATAAACTGCTGCCAGAGGCTCGGTGGGGTTTCTTAGAAAAACGATCCCACAGACATTGTGAGCTTCAAGCTCAACTACAGGCCTGTGGCTTTGGACCCAGACTGCTGTAGGTCCTGGCCGCAGCAAGTGAGGATCTGGGATGACTTTGGGAACCGAGCTTTGACTCCAAAGCAGAAAGAAGGAAGGATGAGGCAGAGCTAAGGGTGGGGAGAAGGAAGAGAAAAAGCAAGAGTTCTCTCCTTTCTTCCTCTGTCAGGCCCTCTGGATCCTCTTCTGTCCGACACACAGCGGACAAGCAGGCCAGACCCCCCGGGGAGCTCCCCCCACCAATCAGAAGCGCACAGGCAATGAGACACGTGCACACTTTTGAGCCCCTCCCCGACCCCAACAACACTGCCTGCTGGTTGTCAGCCTGTGAAAGGGGAGAACAGAAAACCTAAAATCAATTTTACGGATAAATGGCTCCGCCCTTCCCCTTCAAAAGTGACGGTAGGAACAGTGGCCCAAATGGATAAATGCCATTACTCTGGGACTTCATAACAGTTGTAAATTGTTAATCCAAGCAAGCATGGTTGGTTTTCCAAGCAAAGTTTTCATAATCAAATTACTATATATGAAAACTGTAAAAGAAACACACTTTTATAGAGCAGTATGTGGGTTGATGGATAAGGGTAAGCAATCAGGGTGCACTGGTGCTTTACAACAAAAGGTGTCTCCACAATGAACATGTCTGGCTTTGAATTTACCGCCGCCGTTAAACATAGGGGGATACTTACTTCGAATCTGTTTCACAATGGGTTTTAAGAGATCCAGCCACACCTACAGGGAAAAAGAGCACAGATTGAGACAAAACTTCCTAATGAAAGAGCGCAGGCATTTTACACTGTATTTGAAACTATTCTGAATCAAAACACTTTGGTGTATTTGAGGTTGGCTGTTGTTTTTTTCTTCAGAATGTCATATCCTACTCTGTCTACCACTTTCATAGGATGGATCCTAATGTGCTGATTGTTGTGGTTTAGATCCAGAATGTCTCCCAGAAGCCTCCTGTGTTTCGAGGCCTGGCTTTTGAGAGGTGGTGGGACCATGGGGTGCTGTTAGGAGGTGGGCCTGGTCATAAGAGCAGTCACTGGTCTGTGACCCGGAAGGTGCATCTCCCTCCCAGGGCCTCTCTCTCTCTGCTTCCTGGATTCTGTGACACAGGCAGCTTTCCTGTGCCCAGACCCCACCACCGCAGAACTAGCTGACCCGGACTGATCCTCTCAGAGCTATGAGCCTAAATAAACTCTCTTCCTTTAGTGAAGTTGTGAGGGTTGGGGATTGGTCTCTGTGACAGGAAAGTGAGTAAGATACTAAGACTTAAGATTAACAGTTAAAATATATCCTGGGCTCAGAGATACAGCTGAGAGCTATGAGTTGATGCAGCTCAGTGACAGAGTGACTGCTTAGTATGCATAAAGTCCCAGGTTCTATCCTCAGCACTGTCAAAAACAAAAAACAAGAAAATCAAGTTAACAATTAACTAAGAATTTTTCTATACTCATTTGTACTTTTATCAGATTCACCTTTAGAAAATATTAATGAATGACTGGATATTTGACTACTAGTTGAGTGAAATACCCACGTTTACTACTGAAATAAAATATATATATTCAGTGAGACTCTGTCTCAAAAAAAAGGCCTAAATGGCTAGTTTTGTAGCTCAGTGTGAAGGCCCTGGGTTCAATCCCCAGTGCTGCAAAAGCAAAACAGAATAAACAAGCAAACAAACACCATGTTTGAGTAAAAATACACAGACAGCACATTTGAGGACTACAGAAAAGGAATAAATATGGCCAATCGTGTCTAAACCACATTTACTGAAAGCTGTTGACCTCTCTAAGCAAGCCAGAGGAATACCTATTACCCAGGAGAGAGCCCTGAGACTTGCTTCATAATTTGTCCCAAGTTCCTCAGCTAGAGAGTGGCAGGGCTAGGACAGTATCAGGTTCACCCAAGCTCCAAGACCATACCCTTTTTCACATGTGTGCTTCCTGCTCACAGTTTGAAAAACTTTCAAGTAAGAGAGAAATGAGCCGTACTGAAGTTAACCACATATATATGTTCTTTTAGAAAAGTGCCCTTGAACTTCTGGTCATTTGAAAAGGGTTTATCAGTGCTGCTCATATTTGTACATGTGAGAAAAATGAAGTTATTGTGCTTACTATAAAGAAGGTTTTATAAATCAGTAGGATAAGAGGGGCAGCCCTGGGGAAAACTATGTAAAGAACCACAGGTAATACACACACGAAGAGCAAATATGAAGGGCCAAGAGCACAATGTTGATGTTTGGGAAAAAATCTGCATCAGAAGTGAAATTAAAACAATTTCCACCTATTAAATATGCATGTACAGATGTGTAGATACACGTGTGTTTATATTGTACAGTCTCCAAAGGTGGCCAGTACACAAGGAAGCAGGCTCTGTCTCACTGTACTGATGGATGTGTGACCTGGTACAACTTTTCTAGCCTTTTTTTCTTGTTTGTTTTTTTGTTTTTTTGGTTTTTCTCCGGTACCGGGAACTGAACTCACAACCTTGCACTTGCCAGGCAGGCGCTTTGCCGCTGAGCTAAATTCCCAGCCCCCAACTTTTCTAGACTTATTAAGGAATCATGATCTGAAGCCTGAAAGTATTCCTATCCATCTTCTTCCATCCAGCCATATAAATGATGCATTCGCGCACACAGAGTTATACACAAAGAATGCTAATCTTAACATTTCTATCAGACCGCAACTTTTCACAATAACCTAAATAACTAACACACATCTGCAGGACACATCACCAGGCAGGAATTATGCTCCTGATGAATATTTATGAATATGAAAAAACAAGCTAGGGAGGTTAAAGCTGCGTGATCTCTTCTCTTCTGCCTTTCTTCATTATCCAAATTATCTTAAACAAGCACTCAATTCCCATAGCAAAAAAATTCAAAATATGAAATGTCTCCTTATTCAGTTTAACTTTCCCCCATCACCTTTTCAAGTAAGTAAGACTCTGTAACAATAAAATCCTCATTTCTGTGTTCCCCAGCCCGTACTGCTCTTTTACAAGGGAAAGATGACACTAGTCAATCATCTTCATATTGGGTTTCTAAACCTTATCTTTCAAATGGGAAAGAGCAGTCATTCAGAACAGGAAGCAATGTTGTAAGATACATTACTTTCCTCGTAAGAATCCTAAGAGGTGGAAAGGGTGTGAAAGAATCTCTACCTGAGACTAAGAAAGACCAAGACTCAGAAAATAGCTGTCTCAAGTTGGAACTTGGGTTCTATTCTTCAAACTTACTTATTCAATATACTCCCCTCCAAAAAAATCCCCTTGTCCTCTGCTAAGCTCTGGGGAACACAAAGATGTGAAGTAATTGGGGTCCCTGCTCCACGGAGCTTACAGTCTAGTGAAGAAGACAGTGTCAAAAGACCTTCCTAACAAAAGTAGAGAAGGACCAAGACAAAAGCAAGCGAGGAGAGTCCAGAGTGGTGGGTCCCTGAGTGTCCAGCGTAGGGACCACTAGCCCTCACATGTTCAGTGTGCTCTCATGTGATGGTCACTTGAGTACAGCCACAAAAGGAAAGGGAGCAGTCTCAGGGAGACAGAGCCATCGTCCTCACAGGTCCGTGGACAGGAGGTGTGGGATACGATGCAGATCCACTGGGAAGCACCAGGGTGGTCAGGTCAGGAGGTAGAAGGGGCGTGAGCCACAGAAACGCCAAGGCCATGCCTTTCCTGGGATTTGTAGGGACAGTTTAGGACCGGCTAGTCTGAATAATTCCAACAGGCTCTAAGGTATCATGCTGGTCCGTAGGTCCCTGCACCTGGCTCTGTGAAGATTTAGGCAGAGGCCTCTTGCACCTTGGGGTGGGCAGGCCGGAGGTCTGGCTGTGCATAGGTCAGTCTGTGTGTATTTCTCAGATGTGCTCAATGTGGCCCTTGCTATCTCTGAGAATGGCCCAGCTCTAGCTGTCCCCAGCCACGATGTTTTTTAAGATGTCAGGACCCAATCCTCTTCAGACACGGAACACACAGAGTGTACACATGGGAGGAGTGGCGCTGTGCGGAGACCAAAAGAAGGGAAGCAAGAAGCCCGTGTGCAGACCAGCAGGGCAGTAATGAGGCCCCAGGGCCATCACAGCGGTCCAAACGCATGTGCAAGGTTGACTCCCACTGTGACAGTATTAGCAGGTGGGACCTGTGAGAGGAGGGAAGCTGGAGGGCAGAGCTTATTAAGGCCACCATCAGAGCAGGGGCGCATTACCACAGGGCGAGTCTGGCCCCTTCTGCAGACAGTCAGTCTCTCCTTTCCTTCTCCTCACCTCCCGCCACATGATGATCGTGCAACAAGAGGGCAGGGGCCAGAGCCAGCAGCTTGATGTTGGCCGTTCCACCTCCACAACTCTGAGCCGATATGCTTCTGTTCACTGTCAATGCCCCAGTCTCAGGCACCCTCTTACAGCCGTGCAAAAGGGATGAAGACAACAACCACAACTGCAGAGCGAGGCTGGGGGATCAGGAAGGGACCAGACCCCACCTGGCTGTGGTAAGATGCGTTGTCCTTGTTCCGTGAGCAATGAGAAGAAGTTTACGTATGGGGCTGACAGGATTAGATTGTAGTTTTAGAACAATTTGTTGGGCATTGTGAAAACCTACTACAGGGAGCAAGATCGAATGATGTGTTGGCCCTGCAGGACAGAAACAGAGTTAGGAACAATGGATGCAGTCAAGGAAATTTTAAGAGGTGCAAAACCAATAGAATTTACTGGTGCACTGGGTGTGGTGACTGAAGGAGGGCACAGGGCCTAGAAGGGCCTGAGATTTCTGCCACAGCGTCTAGAAGGAAGCTGCACTGTGCCCAGAGGCAGGGAACCCTGGAGGAGGAGTGAAGCTGGAAGGTTCTGGCCAGGCTGGCTTTCAGGGTGCCCGTGCATCCTCCAGCAAGGGACAGCGTGGGAACAGTGGAGTACGTTTTGCCTGGAGCCTGGAGCGGGAGTCGGGCAGGACAGCTCACGTTTAGACTTTGGTAGCAGCTCTACTCTGCAGAAGGTGTAACGGCCCGCAGGGCATGCATAGAAGGACATTCACGAGCGGTGCTGGCAGAGAATTCTTCAGATCGGGGCTTACACACAACATAAACTGATGGCTCCATTCTAGAGGTTGGCAAGTCCAACATGAAGGTGCTACAAACCAGAAGTCTGGTGAGGGCTGCTTCCTGGCTCACAGACAGTGGGCTTCACCGTGTCCTCCCAGGGTTCCAGGGGTAAGAGAGCTCCCTCTGGCCTCCTCCGTAAGGGCACTGGGCCCATTCACCAGGGCTCCACCCTCAGGGCCTAATCACCACCCCAAGGCCCTGTCTCCTATGGCTATCATCCTGGGGGCTAGGATTTCAATATACGAATTTAGTAGAGACAAAAATCTTCAGACCATATCCCACCAAGCAGCAGTCAGCCAAGGGGGAGCAGACGAGGACTGAAAAAAAAAAATGAGGAGAGAACCATGTCCTGGAAGCCAGGGGAAGAAAGATTTCCTGAAAGAAAGAATACGTGAGCTGTACATCTGCCATTACTCAGTGGTGGGTCTGGGGGTCCAGTGGTGGCGAAGTGGGTGCCTGGCTTTACTGAGAAGCGTCTCCCTGATGCAAAAGGCAACAGAATGGAGGGAGAGGGGCTGAGGAGTCAAATGTGAGCTTTGTCCATTTGCTTGTTTTTAGTCAGACTGACCTGGGTGCGTAGAAGGAATCTGAGCAAGAGAGACAAGAGGGACCCGGGGATGTAGAAATAAAGCCC